TTTTTTTTTTTTTTTTTTTTTTTTTTTTTTTTTTTTTTTGTGGTACGCAGGCCTCTCACTGTTGCGGCCCCTTCCGTTGAGGAGCACAGGCTCCGGACGCACAGGCTCAACGGCCATGGCTCACTGGCCCAGCCGCTCCGCAGCATGTGGGATCTTCCCAGACCGGGGCACGAACCCGTGTCCCCTGCATCAGCAGGCGGACTCTCAACCACTGAGCCACCAGGGAAGCCCTATTTTTAGTTTTTTAAGGAACCTCCATACTGTTCTCCATAGTGGTTGTATCAGTTTACATTCCCACCAACAGTGCAGAAAGATTCCCTTTTCACCACACCCTTTCCAGCATTTATTGTTTCTAGCTTTTTGATAATGGCCATTCATTTCAGATACAGGCTTTCTCTAGTTGTGCCAAGCAGGGACTACTCTTCACTGAAGTGGGTGGGCTTCTCATTGCAGTGGCTTCTCTTGCTGTGGAGCATGGGCTCTAGGGCACGTGGGCTTCAGTCGTTGTGGCATGCAGGCTCAGTAGTTGTGGCTCATGGACTCAGTAGTTGTGGCTCACGAGCTTAGTTGCTCTGCGACATGTGGGATCTTCCCAGATCAGGGATTGAACCCCTGTCCCCTGCATTGACAAGCGGGTTCTTAACCACTGTGTCACCAGGGAAATCCCTATATTTTATCTTTTAAAAAATATCTTCTAAGACTTCAGAGACTTTAACATAAAGCTTGAAAATTTTCACTTTACTGTGGCTAGAAACCAAAACGCTATGTGAATGCTATGTGAACAAGGTTATATATTTTCAATGTTTGCAAGGTTCAGAAATGTGCAAAAAGTGAGTAGTTGAGGTTATGTGACCAAAAAGGTTTCATATGAAGGATAACTGTTCAGATCTCTTGGGAGAAACCATTCTTCAAGTATGTGTTTGCAATTTAAGAAAATACTGAGGTCATTCTTAGCTAGAAATATAGCAGTAGTATTCATGGAAATATTTAACTGAACTTTGATGTTATAATTTATAGCAAGATATTAAGTGTGAACCATGTGCAGTTTAAAAGCATTTGCTAATATATAAATTATAAAAAGAGGCTTATAATTATCTTACCATTATTTATCTTTCTTGTTGAAATCCTCTGCTGAAATATTACTCTATAATGTCTATTCAAAGAATATTCAATCATTTTTATTTAATAGGTGAAATTTTTTAGTGTATCTCAATTAATTAAAAGTTAGGGCCTACTTATTGATGAAATCTATTACCGTTATTTAAGTTTTGAGTTAAAGTTTCATAAATTTTCAAGAAAGAAAATATTCCACCACAAGATTTTTTTAAATTCTAAATGTAAACAATTAATGTAGAAAATATTTATTTTTCCAAATTATAAAATTAATGCTTCTGTGACAAATAAGTGCCTCTTTTGTGGAATTTTTCTTTTTTTCTCTTTTTTTTTTTTTTTTTTTTTTTTTTTTTTTTTTTTGCGGTACGCGGGCCTCTCACTGTTGTGACCTCTCCCATTGCGGAGCAAAGGCTTTGGACGCACAGGCTCAGCGGCCATGGCTCACGGGTCCAGCCGCCTCACGGCATGTGGGATCTTCCCAGACCGGGGCATGAGCCCGTGTCCCCTGGATCGACAGGCAGACTCTCAACCACTGTGCCACCAAGGAAGCCGTTTTGTGGAATTTTTAACAAATAATTTGAATGTCAATTTGTCCTACTTTTTTTTTTTCTAATTTTAATGTTGAACTAGGATGACAAGCTATTAATTAAAAAAAAAAAAAATCCCTACAAGTATGGAAGGCAACAGTGATTTACTGCTAGTTTATTTTTCCAGTTCTATTCTATGTAGGTAGTAAAGTGTGGATTTAGTAGAATGACCACAAGGGTTATTGTTTTTCTTTTAATAAGTATTGCTTATTAATTGTTCTTACATCAATAATTGGAGCTTAGGCAGATCATAATAAAAATATCCATATTAATACCAAGTGGAGAAAAACTGCAGACCAATAGATGATTGTAGCAACACATGGGACACTGTGGAGAGAAGAAAAGTCATAGTCAAAACTAAGTTTTAAATTATAGATAGGTAGTTTTCAGAGAACACCATGTGAAATTGGAGTATAATTTTGTGTTCAATTATTCCATCTTTATTTACAGCTGCACTCTAATTCTGACAAAGGTGATGGGTCTGTGAAGTACATCCTTACTGGAGAAGGTGCTGGGACTATATTTATCATTGATGATACCACGGGTGACATCCACTCAACAAAAAGTCTAGACAGAGAGCAGAAGACCCACTATGTGCTTCATGCTCAGGCTATTGACAGACGAACAAACAAGCCCCTTGAACCTGAATCTGAGTTTATCATCAAAGTGCAAGACATCAATGACAATGCTCCAAAGTTCACAGATGGACCATATATCGTAACTGTGCCTGAAATGTCAGATATGGGTAAGAGAAATCATTTTTATATTTTGTCATTTAATATATTTTTGGTGATCCAAAAAATCATCTTTTGAAGACCAGTTTTTAAATTTTTGGGGGGGAGTGAAGAAATCTGACGAAGTTCCAAAATATTTTCATAATTTCCTATGGCCTAAAGTGTTAAAGAACATTTGGCCTAGCTATTCTACTATTTATTAAAACAAATTTCTGAATCTGTAAGTTTAAGAAACAGCTTGATCTCAAGGAAAAACAACCATACATGAGAAAACACTTGCAATTCTTGCTTAACTGGCATAATTCTTTGACCATACCAACACATTCAGTGACAATTTGTATAGATACAGGTAATATAATGCTGGAAATCTATTGCTATATCTTTTATAATTGCAGGTTATGATCAAATTTAATAGTATTAATAGTACAAGCAATAGCTACATTAATCAATAAACTTTGCAGATATCCTAAGCATTTACATCCCTTATTTATTTTAAAATATATGACCACCCTGTGAAGTATTTTGAATACCAATTTAAAGCTGTGCAAAGTGGTGTACAGTATGTAAGTAACTGTCCCAAATTCTTTCCCAAATTGCTAGAAGAAATTGACTCTAGGCTCTCCTGAATGCAGAGCCTACACAAGTTGTGATTGAGGTCTCCAGTCTTCTGATATCTGGGGTTCTCCCACCACTCACAGATTTCCATGGTTTAGCTATTTTAGTTTATTTTTATCTCAGATGATAAATTTCCTAAATATAATTAAAATAAAGTTCAGCTGTGATAATAATATTTTTATTACCTCTGTGAGGCTCTCAGTTTGGATTTAGAACATATTTTGAATAAAGGTTTTACATATTTAAGTTTCCTGTATACGTATGGGTTTTAAATTAGGTATTATGGTCACGAATCAAATCACTCTGTGTAATTGTATATATATATATAGTTTTTTTTAATTTGAAAATTTTTCCAGTTTTATTGAGATATAATTGACATACAGCACTGTATGAGTTTAAGGTGAACAGCATGATGGCTTAACTTACATATATTGTGAAATGATTATCACATTACCACAATATGTTTTGTTAACATCCTTTGTCTCATATACATAAGGTTTTTTAATTCAAGATTGCAGTTTATTTATTTATTTTTTCATTTTAGCTCTCCTGAGATTGGCAGATAGCTTCTGAAGCTGTTGGGGAAGCAAGTTAGAAAGGGAGACTAAGTTCTCCTTCTTAGCCAGAATCTCAGGGGAGAAAGCCATTGCTAATCTGGCTCCCCAGGGACCAGAGTAGAATACAGGGTCCAGACACAGAGAGCCTGTGGAAAGGCCCAGAAGACACTCATGCTCATTGGTCTCTTAGGAAAGTTGAACAGCTCAACACCATTATTCCTGGCAGGTGAGAGTTTGTGTGAAAACTCCAGAACAGACTTCCTCCTAGCACCTTGTCAAGGGACTGACAGCCCATCTGCCAGTCCTCTTCTCCTATAAAAGCGAAGAGCTCTATGACTCCACCACTTGTGAGAATGCCACTGGTAAGGTACTGCCAGAGGCCAAGTAAGAGCGCCAGGGAGTGCAAAGGAAATGACGGTCACCAGGGCAGGCAAAGCACCATAGAGAGAAAAACGGGCACAGCAGTCATTACCAAGAAAGAGTATTGAACTGTAGATAATCAGAGCACTAGTGTTTTAAGGACACTGCAGAGAGATTTCTGTAACTCAAAGCCATGTTTCCTATAAACAAGTAAACAAAAAAAAATAAATCAATGTATGCATTGAGGCATGAAGGGTCACTGATAAGACCCAAATTATTTTTCTGGAACTTAAGAAAATCCCAGACTGGAAGCAGGAGCTAAAAATCAGAGGGCAAAAATACAAATATATGGCAATTGTGAGAAATAAATGATACTTAGAGTATATGTTAATTAGACCTAGGATGTGAATAACACATGTTCCCAGAGAGCAGGAAACAAGCAGATGAAGGAGAGGAGCAATAACACTTTTTCCTGGAGGTGAGGGATATACGGAATTTACAAGTTTAATAGACTTTCTGAGTTCCTGGAAAGGGTAATAGAATAAGAATCAAACTTAGGCTTTAGGAACTTTGCCAGGATTCACCTAAGGATACAGAGAAAATTTTTACAAACTTTCAGATATTTAAAAATTACCTATTAGGAAAAAATATTTTCACATCATATTTATCACTTGAAATATTGGAAAGTGGTTAACAATTGAATATACCATTGTCAGCCTACAGAGGAAAGACTGAAACCCCCAATCCTTCATTCAGGCAAAACATGATTCATCTGTTAGCATGAAAGAAATATGTGGAGAAGGATCCAGAAAGTATATCATCCTCCCACCTTATCTAGAAAAATATTTAGGAAAACAGTTGACACTGAGAATTGTTGAAATGAATCAGAACAGAGATTGAAAAGCCAAGGAAAATGACAAGGGGGGAAAAAAGTTATCAGAAATGTACCCTGAAATATATACGTGTGTGTGAACACAGTGAAAGCTAAGTGGGTACATGTGAGCCTGTTAAAGAATGCTGGACATTTAGGAATGATGAAGCCTAAAGGAATCATTGCAGCAAAGGCTGGAGGACTTAGGAACAAGCCAAGACATTTCAGTCCTCATCTAGGACTTGGAGAGAAAGGTAGGAATGGGAGGGAAATACCAGTGAAGCAGACCCTTGAACTACACGGGTGTGAACTGTGTGGGTCCACTTATAGGAACCTCCTACACAAAGGCCAACCGTAATAGGTTATCCATGGATTTTTGACTGCACAGGGGGTTGGTACCCCTAACCCACAAGTTGTTCAAGGGTCAACTGTATTCTTAAGTTCTTTTATGGAGACAAGTATGGTTGAAGGAAAAGTATTTAATGCCTAAAAGTAGTGGAGAAAAGGGACAAAGCAGAGTAGGCTTCCAGTCTCTTTTGTACCACAGTTCCACACATGATTTCTGGTGAAAGAGTATGGCAAGCTTTAGGCTGAATATTGGAAATCATATTGTGTGTGTGTGTATGAACTCATTGTGGAAAAACAAATACATAAAAATCATTATAATAGCATCTAATGCACATTGAAATATGAACATATGGAAGGTGATATAAAAGTGAAGTGAGAAACTCACTTTACATTGTGGGCTTAAGAATGAGTGGTATTTGCACTGCCTCTAATTTTAGAAATCAAACAAACAAACAAAAACAACAACAAAAAACTAGTAATGTGGTGCAGGACAGAACAGCAAACCATGGCAGTGGAGACAAATGCAGCCTTCTGTCTTGTTTTTGTAAACAAAGTTTTACCAAAACAAAGCCATACCCATTCATTTAAATATTGCTAGGGTAGTTGGGCTTTGCAGTAGCAGAGTTGAGTTTGCAGCCAGCACTATGGCTCACAAAGCCTAAAATGTTTACTATGTTGCCTTTTACAGTAAAAGTTTGCCAATTTCTATTGTAAGGGATTTTAGAGAATGACCCTCTAATACTCTTAATAGACAGTCATCTGCTGATCCAGGGCAGTTAGTGTTCTGACAGCCCAGCTGACGATATACACACATATACAAAAATATGGCATTTGTCACAAACAGTAAGATCATGCTTCTTCCTTTTAGGTAAATGCTGTTAGTTATCCAATATTCAGCTCCCCCTTCCCTATTACTAAGAGAACTCAGTTTTGATCAGGGTGACACTGTGCAGAATTAAATATTCACCTCCTACCATATCTTTTCATCTAAGAATGACCATGTGATGTAATTCTAGATGGTAGGATGTTAAGCAGAGGCAATTAGGTGGAACTTCCAGGAAAGATATAGGTTTCCTGCCCAAAAAATCACACCTGGCATGCATATTTCACCCATCACCATTTTCCTTTCAATTGTTGCCTAAAGCAGATGTGGTACAGAAATGTAGCAGGCACTTGCAACCATAAAGATGAAAGCCTGTTGCTTAGTGCAGAAAGACAAAAGGACCCGGAAGAATGATCCATTGCAGAGCTGATGCTCCTGGTCTGGTCTGCGAATCCCAAGAGCCTTCTTAAGAAAGTAAATCTCATCTTTTTAAGCTATCGAGTTGGATTTCAGATACATGCAGCTGCACTGAATCTGAATTGAGAGTTGGACAAATTCTAGGTTTCAACATGAACCCAATAACCAAATAATACTGAATCCAAAGGAATGGCGAGTAAGGTTTTAGCATCAGAAAAGAAACAGTGATGCCAGTTTCTATTAAGTGGCTTGATTTGGGAATGATACAGAAAATCATCCCTCCTTTCCATTCCTACTATGTAATTGTGATGCTAGATGATTTTGCTATGGCACCAATATTTCTTTCTGCATGTGCTGAAGCTAACAGTTGATTTCAGATATCTAAATCATGTTTCCTGTCAACTGTAGAATCAATTGGATCCATAGAAGTTCTGATGAGTGGATAAAATGACTACAATCAAATAAACACGGGGAAATTACGTTAGCAGGAGATTCTTAGGAAAAATAAACACATGTTAATCATACAAAAAAATCTCAAATTTCACTAGTAATTTAAGAAACCACGAAGGAGAAGGAGATAGCAATGTTCACCTAACAGGTATGCAAATTTGATAATTCACAAAATTGTTAATGTGCAGACCCGTTAGCAGAAAGGTTGATTTTCATAGTTTTTTGGAGGGTAATTTGGCAATGTCTACCAAAATTTTTAAAATAACATATATCTATTGTAGAAAGCTATTTTATAGATATATTGACATGGATATGCAAAGATATAAAAGGAAGGATGCCCATTGTAGTATTGTTCACAATAGTGAAAAATAGAAAACACACTTAAAGTACACTAATAAAGAAGTTCTTAAATGAATGATTCTTCATATACTGATACCCTAGGCAGCCTTAAAATGAATGAATTTCAACGTGTATGCTGACATTCAAAGATCCAGAGTATTTTAGTGAGAAAAAAGTTTTCAGAAATCCATGTGGAATAGAACCTACTTTATTTTAAAAAGTAAATACGAG